CTTTCACAACAGTGGTTTTCCAGGTGGAGTTGTTCTCTAGAAATAAGGCAGTTATCAAAGGAGTTGCTTAGCTGAATCATCCTCTACCCCCGTGTAAATTGATCATAGTTTAGGTAGAATTATTGACCTAAATATGAAAGGCTTTAAACCTGCTTCGTTCTTTTGGCTTTATTTTTTTCTTTGATTTACATGTCAACATACATTCATAGAATTATAGAATTCTTAAAGGTCTTATAGAAGACCTTTAAGATCGAGTCCAGCCGTTAACCTAACACTGCCAAGTCCACCACTAACCCATGTCTCCATGAGCCACATCTACATGTCTTTTAGTTGCCTCCAGGGATGGTGATTCAACCACTTCCCTGGACAGCCCGTTTCAATGCTTGACAACCCTTTGAGTGGGGAGATGTTTCTTGAGATCCAATCTAAACCTCCCCTGGTGCAGCTCGAGGCCATTTCATCCTATGCTTTTTACTTGGGGGAGAGGAGACCGACACCCACCACCCTACAACCTCCTTTCAGGTAGCTGTAGAGAGTGATAAGGTCTCCCCTGAGCCTCCTTTTCTCCAGGCTCAATGATCCCACTTCCCTCAGCCGCTCCTCACGGGACTTTTGCTCTAGACCCTCTCTCTCTAGACATCTCTTTCAATATCTCTAGCTGTCCTTACGGTGCCTGTAAGTCATTCTCACTTTAGTGGAATAAATGGGATCCTGTGCTCCAAGTCTTGCAGCCACTGTGAAACACCTGCAAGAGAGAACAGTTGGAGGCATGTAGGCTGCTGCTTCGGTTTGCTGATCTGGGGCACGGTCAAAAGAAATCTCATCTTTCAAGCGAAGGAAGAGCAGCACAGTGTGACTGGGTTTGATAGTCTGAAAGACTGACCACTAAAAGTTAGTGACGTTGAAGTTAGTACGTTATGCCTGTTCTTGGTGAGAAGAGATGCTGAAAGAAAATACGAAGGGAATGCAGTATGGGTTTCTTTCTGTTTTTAAGACCACAGTCTAATATTTTTGTACATACAGTTTGGAATTTGCCATCTAGTGCAGTCATTGATTTCTACTGCTGAAGACATTAAGAAAGTGACACCACCACCAGCATTTTTTGTAGCAGACAGCTGGAATTTATCTCAAGCTAAGGTACATATGCAAGGTTTATTGCATCAAGCAGGTATGCTAGGTGTCAGTGAGCCCTCCTGGCCCAGCTGAAATTCAGCCCACGCTTCTGAAGGAATTGAGGTGTGAAACGGAACTGCTGGCCAAGGAGTGCCACCTAGTGCTACAGCCAGCTTCGGTACCAGGGGACGGGTGGGTTGCCAGCGGCTTTTTGCCTAGGTTCCACACCAAATGGTATGAAGGAAACCAAATTGCCATGGAGCTGGGGAAGCTAGAGCTTCAGCTGGGAGAGGAGAATTCAAAGGTGGATGTGACTGAGCTTTACAAATGCAGAAATGCAGAGAGTAAGGCAGAACTGTGTTCACAGAATCCTGTAACATCAGCACTACTTCATAAAACCAGCGGAATGCTTTAAAATACTAAAAGAGGACTTGTTTCCTCGGGATGCAGGTCACAAGTATTGCCAGGTTCAAAAAGGGTTAGACAGCTTCTTGGGTAACAGATAATAAAGTCAAGCACATACCCTCTAACATCATTAAACTATGAAGGTGGATGCTGGGGAGGTCCAGAGAAAGCACCTCAGCTCTTCTGCTCAGCCTGAAGCAGCAGCTGTTGAACTTGGGAATTCTCCTGCAAATGAATTATCCTGGAGAATCTTAAAGCACTCCCAGTGGAAAAGCACTAAGGGGGGGAGGCAACTGATTGACTAGATGCAGTAACAGATGCAGGGGCGGAGGAGGGGGCTGTATGAAGATCATTAGACCAGGGCTGAAGATAGAAAACACAGGGGAGCGCCCAGCAGAGCACCCCTGCCAGTGCTCACCATCTCCCGGAGGTGTGCGAGCCGCTGCCTGCGCGGGAGGGGGGCACCGACCCCACGGGCTAAAGGGGCGTCTTCCCTGCTCCCCCGCAGCCGCCCCCGCTGGGGCTGCGAGTGGCGGTTTGGCCGGGGCCAGGAGGCGGCTGGCGAGGGCATCCTGCCACCGGCGTGGGGTCAGGACGGGGAGGGTGTAAGTAGATGTGGGGGAAGGTGCAGCCCAAAGTGCTGGGAGAGGGATTGCACGAGGGAACGCTGGCTGCAATGGATTTTTTTGTTTGACCTATTAAAGGCATTCTTTCTGTATTTTTTTTTTTTGATATTGCATTAGAGGATTTGTATCCTGAAATGTATTTATTAACTCTGGGGAGGGGATATTTCTTTTTTCTTCACTTAGCTTCTCTGTGCACTGGAGTTCTTACACAGCTTCAGACTAACTTTCAAAGCAATGTTATTTTAAGAATACCTGTCATCTTGTTGGAGGCTTGAAGTTGCAGAACAATGAAATAATTTTTATTATAGTGCTATGCTGTATCTTCTAAATTCCCATAGAGTTAATACTTAGGTTGCTGAAATCTGGTAAATTACCCAATAACCTTGCTTACCCTTTAGGCCAAGGAATATGATGCTCTGTGTTACAGTAGTTGTATTTCAGCAGTGTCCTAACCAGGCGGCCATTGTACACCAGGGAGTTACTGACCCGCATAACCAGTTAACCTGAGAAGGTGCTGGTTGTGTTACAGCACAGGCTGTGCTGCAGCACAGGTGCAGCTTGGCCTTCTGGCCTATCCTGTGCTGCACAGGTCCCCTGGCCACATTAAATATTTGGCCAGCTCATTGTAACGCAGGAACCTGTAGGAGCTCCCTCCTGGCTTTGGCAATTACAGCGCCTGCATGTTGTCTCTTTCAGAAAGCGAAGCCGCGTGCTCTCGTGTGAACATCCTTTTGTTTGACATTAGGAATGATGACCAGAATTGTTTTCTTCTCAGAAGGTCCAACAAGAGCTCTGAAGAGCAAAACATTAGGGAACCTCTCCACAGACAGGATCTGCACCACGGGCTGTATCCTGATGGAAGGTGTGTCTGATGCTGCACAGCTCCAAGTTCCCAGCATCTGAAGGAAGGTAGGATTATCTTTATTGTCCTCTTTTTCCTGCTGGTGTGAGCTCAAGTAAAGGGGCTATTAATTAATTTGTCTGGGAGTCCAAGTGCCTTTCTGGCTGAGATGATACGAATGTCAGTCCTGGTGCATTAGCAGGCTGCATCCCTGAAAAAAAGGGCTGTATACTGCAAGAGTAAAGGCAAAGTTAAGTAAGAGCTTTCCTTTTTTTTTTTTTTTTCCCTTCTGTTTTTAGCATTACTCATTTCTGAAAAATATCTTCATGCAACCAAGTTGGATGTCTTTCCTGTATGATATATATATATTTTCAGGGTAAAATCTTCAGTCCTTCCTGAGTCAATATTTGTCAGTTCCTCTGTTATCTCTGGTTTGTACTTGAAAACTTTGGCTCTAAATCAAAGGTCTAGACTACATTGGTCAAACTCTCAGAACATCAGCTACCGACAGCCAAGGAAGCAAAAGAGTACAAATGCTTCCCTGATCTGTGCCAGTCCCAATCAGCCTCTCACTACGTGTCTGGAGAGTCTTTAGACATATATGGAAAGCAAGAAGTATCCTACTTCTGAGAGCAGACAGAGAGAAAGTGAAATCCTCTCTCAAAGAGAAATGAATGAGGTGCAGAACAGAACATGAACTGAAACAATTTTGATGAATGTTAGTTTTACAATGTGAAAAGAAAATAGTAAAATAATCAGTCAAGATAGCAAGTGGATGATAACAAGTTGTTGAGATTGCTTTCCAGATGCTCTATCCAAAGCATGCTTCTCTGCATTTGTTCCAGTTTGTGGTTGGAAGGGAAGGTGCAAGTAAATGCTGCTTTACCTGGCTTTTCCAGAGAATACAGCAGTCAGTTATGGGTTACTGTAATAGATGGTATGTTTACTCCTTCAGGAATTTAAAAAGTAGTTGAGGAGAAAGTAAGCAAGACTGATCATAAACAAATACAGAACTTCTTGTCCTACACAGTGTGCTGCTGCGCAATTCATAGAGATTGTTACCTTGTCTTTTGAGCCATAAAGCTCAAGATCAGGAACATCCAGGCTTTTCCTGGCCTGGCTCTATGGATGTTAGACAGACAGAGTGGAGAGAGGCATTGTCAAGCAGGCAGACAGTTGTAGAGATTTAATACTGGCCTTCATCTAGACATCCAGAGGCAGAGAGCATGACAGGGGAAAGCAAAGTGCAGAGAAGACTGGAACCAATATGGGCAGCCTTACATGGAGCTGGGGTCGAGTGGGTACCCACCTTTCTGTAAAGGCAGCTGCTGAGACGGTTCTCAGCCAGGTTTGAATTATGAGGAAGCACCGTTAGATGTTTATGCCAGGGCTAGATAGGAAGGAGTTTAAGAGGAATTAAGTTGCTGGCTTTTCTGAAAACAGCATGCAGCTACAGCACAAGGGCATGCCAGACACGAAATGCCCCACACTCAGGTAAACACTTCCCTCCCCAAAGACCTTGTAACTGCGCGGGTATGTTTCTGATACGGGTTCCACAGGTGGATGAATTTCTGTAGCTTATTTCAGCTCCACAGCGCAGCGTGGGCAGGGCGAGGGGCTGGGCCGAGGGCCGGCGGAGCGCAGCCTCAGTGTCGTTTCCCCTTCCCCGGGCAGAGGAGACAACCGCGGGCGCTGGTTCTTGCCCTGCATGGATCCGTCTTCACACCGTTCGTTATTGGTTATTTTTCCTTCTTGGCACGGAAGCCGAGGTTCTCGGCCCCGCACCCGGGGCTCCCCCTCCGCAGGCCCCCCCTTCCCTCTCCTGAGGGCGCTGCCGCCGCGCCCCACCGAGTCCCCAAGCGGCAGCACCGGCCAGGAACATCCCGCCCTCGGCGCCTCAGGCGCCGCGCGCCGCCCCCTCCCGGCTCAGCCCCGCTGACGCTACGGCCCGCCTTCCAGCCCAGCCAATGGCAGGGACGGGATTGGCACCGCCCTCCGCCCTGGGGCCAATGGGAGCTGGGAAGAGGGACGGGGCGTCGTCCCTCTATAGGCCGCGGCGGTGAAGGTGACGAGGGGCGGCCGGCGGGAGCATGGCGGCGGCGGCGATACTGGGCTGGCGGCGCCCGGCCGTGGAGCTGTTGCGGGTGAGGCGGGCGGCGCGGGGCCCGGCCCTTCCCCTCTCCTTCCCTGTACAGCCCCGACCCCACCGCGGGGCCCGGAAAGACTCGGCCAAGGTCACGCCCGCTCCTCGGCCCCTCCCGCCGCGCCGCGGGGTGGAGGGAGCCCCCGGCCCGGGGAGGAACTGAGGGGAGGGAGCGGGCCCTGGGGCGGCTCCTGCCGCCGGGCCCTCGGCCGGGGGAGCGGGGCCGGTGTCGCCGCGGCCCGCGGGGCTGGGCAGGCCGCGCCGCCCCGGAGCCGCCTGATCGGTGGAGGGCGGGCGGCTTCCCCGCGCCGGGCGCCGCGGGGCTTTTAGCCGCGGTCTCGGAGCGGCATTTTCCACGGCCTCGCAACCGCCTGTCAGCACAGCGGACTGGCTAGGGCCCTCGCCCGGCTCTTCAGCTCGTTCCTTGGTAATTCGTTGCCCTGCAGAGCCCCTGTACCCACCGGTTACCCGCTGCAGCAGCGAGGACGTGTGGCAGCTGTCGAAGGCTTTCTGTAGGCAGGGCCAGAAGAGGGATCGGGTAGGCAGAGGTGCTGCCTTGATGTGCCTGAGGTAGGTTCATCAGGACAGCTGGGAAGTGAGGTACTGAGAGCTCCTGCCTGAAGAGCCTCTGTGCCTGGCTGCATTGAGGCACTGCTGACCTTATTGGTGGGGGTACCTGGCTTGCCTGGAGTGCTGGGGATGCTGTCGCTGCTATAGGAAGAAAAGGGGAGGTACAGCATCTGTCCTGCGCTGGATGGCTATATGCAAAGCTGAAGGTTGTGTTTTACCAGCTGCAGAAGTGTGTCTTTTTAAAAAAAAAAAAGTCTGTAATTGACACACAGCATGAACACCGCTAGCAGATGCCAGTTACACTTAGAAGACTGTTGTGTGCTTTGTCCAGTTTACTACAAAGGTAAACTTCAGCTGTTGTCTAGTAAGACCACACTACTTTGTTAGGCCTTTTTTTGACACTAACCTTTGAAAGCCTGGTTATTAAAGCCCTGCAGGGACATAATTCATTTTCAGGGAGACGTTTTAAATTAAACTTCCTACTGTCTATTACAACCTGAGCTGGAAAAAAAACCACAAACCCAAAACCTAATTGAAAAACATTGGGAAAAAAAAAATCTATCTTTTGTTAACTGAAGGTTGTCAAGTAAAGAGAGAAACAGACTAAATTTTTATATTGTGGACAATATGCTGGAAGGCACTCTTTGATTTATAAAACCAATGGTGGTTTTGTGGTGTCCTTAAGTAGTTATTTTTAATTAGTATTTATTTAGCTGTAATTCAGTAATGACCAGAGGTTTCCAGTGTGCTGAAATGTTGTCTAAGAAAGTGACTAAGGAAGTGGCTTAAACCATTAGCTGAAAGATCATACTGTTAATATGTGAAACAATACATAGAGATGTAATTGTGTGTATTTACACTGCTTAATTAGATGAAGCTAGTAGCTGATGAATTAGCCAGCTCAGGTGGCACCTTTTTCTTTTTCTTGGTTTTGTTTTATTATCATCTTTTGTTGTAGCATTCCAAATTCATTATCCTCAGTTTTGTTCATGAAATGCCAGTGAACTGAAGCTGTAGACACAAAGTGACACTGTTTTAAAAGCAGTGAAGTTAACGATAGAAATGAATGAAGTCCAGAGAAGCAGAATGAGGAACTAGTAAACTTTTTCAAGATAGCACCACTCATTCCCTAGTTTAGACATGTGTTATACGTGTACCTAACAGATTTAGCTAAAATGGCTTTTGTTTTTAAAGGATTATCTGTTTATTTTTCAGAAAATATTTTATCACAGATGTGATACTAGACTACACTTTTTTTAAAAGGCATATTATGATTTTTAATATTTTTTCCAGTGTTTCTTAGATACTATTTTTTTAAATAATGACTTCTGTGAAAATGGTACATTACTGAAATGTCATGGCATTGGCTTTCTTGATACGAAATTCTGAGGACTTTCTTATTTTCAGGCTTTGAAGTATACAAGCCGTGGCTATGCATCACAGCGTACTTTAAATGTAAGTATAAAGCACCATCTGACTGCAATAGATCACTGCTTTAAATTTGTTTCTTAATCACTGGAGTTTTAGAAAAAGTTATCATAAGAAATCTGTATTGAAGACAATGGGACTTGTGCCCAAGTCACACTTTACTGCAAAATCTGGAATAAAAGTTAGATTTCCTTTTTATTTTGGCTTGATAATTGTTAGGTAGTGTGGGACAAAATTGGTTAGACATGTGTCAGCTAACATAAGCTTAATGTAACTATCTACCAGTTATTGGGAAATACAGCTGATGACAGCTAATCCCTTTGAGGTTATTGGTATGTTATCCTGCAACTTGCTGTTACAATGTAAAAGATGAGGACAAGTCTGTTGCTATCACTGAAGTCAATCATGATGAAGAAAGGGTTATAGAAACAGACAAACCTGCTTAAACAAGTATAACTTTGGTTTAATTTTTTTCTAGTGTTTTCTTTCTTTGCTTGTCTCTAAATAAAGAACTCATGGTGAGACCCTATAAAGCTTTGTGTCTAACTTCCACTGAAACCAGCACAGTTGGAGATATTCATTCCATCTTCCCAATAGCTGTCCGGGACAGCCAGAGGTCTGAAATGTGCATCTTTTTGGTGTGAGGTCCTTGTGCTGCTATCACAGGACTAGCAGATAGACATGTTGACATAGCGCTAAATGTAAGAGGCAAAATATGAGTAAATCTGTTTTGAGGCGCTACTAGATATAGAACTGAATGTCACACCATGTCTTAAACTACTGCTTATGCATTGTGCTGGGACCCAGGCTTTTGAATATCTCCAAGGATGGAGACTCCACAACCTCCCTAGACAACCTGTTACAGTGTTCAGTCACACAGTGAAAAAGTGTTTTCTGATATTCAGAGGGAGTCTCCTGTGTGTCAGTTTGTTCCCATTGCCTCTGGTCCTGTCACTGGGCACCTCTGAGAAGAGCCTGGCTCTGTCCTCTTTGTACCTTCTCTTCAGGTATTAATATACATGGATGAGGTGCTCCTGCACCTGCTTCAAGCTGAACAGGCTCACTCAGCCTTTCCTTGTATGTCAGATGCTCAGTCCCCCTAATCTTCATGGCCCTTTGTTGGACTCCAGTATGTCCATGTCTTTCTTCTACTGGGGAGCCCAAAAAGGGACACAATATTCCAGGTGTGGCTTCACCCGGGCTGAGTAGAGGGCAAGAACCACCTCCCTTGACCAGCTGGCAATACTTTGCCTAATGCAGCCCAGGATACCATCAGCCTTCTCTGCTGCAAGTGCCCATCGCTGGCTTGCATTCAGCCTGGTGTCTGCCAGGATCCTCAGGTCATTTTATTCCAAGCTGCTTTCCAGCTGAGTGGCCACCTACATGTCCTGGTGCCAGGGGTTATTCTTTCCCAGGTGCAGGACGTTGCAATCCTGCTTGATGAACTTCATAGGTTCCTGTAAGCCCATTCCTCCAGCCTGTCGAGGTCCCTCTGGATGGCAGCACGACCCTCTGGTGTATCAGCCACTCTTCAGCAAACCTGCAGAGGGTATATGCTGTCCCATCATCCAGATGATTAATGAAGATATTAAATGGGACTGAACCCAGTATTGACCCCTGGGGAACACCGCTAGTTACTGGCCTCCAACTAGACTTCGTGCCACTGATCATCCACCACCTCCTGGGCCTGGAATGCACCTCACTGTCTCTTTATCAAGCCCATACTTCATTAGCTTCTGTATGAGGATGTTATGGGAGACAGTGTTGAAAGCCTTACTGTAGTCCAGGCAGACAATGTCCACAGTTCTCCCCTCATCTACCAAACCAGTCATTTCACTGTAAAACTTTGTTGGATTGGTTGAGCATGATGAATACATGCTGATGATTCCTGCTGATTTTTCTGGTTCATGTTCCTGGAAATGGTTTCCAGGATTAGTTGTTTCATCACCTCCCCAGGGATTGAGGTGAGGCTGACTGGCCTGGAGTTCCCTAGGTCCTCCTTCTGGCCCTTCCTGAAGATAGGAGTGATGCTTGCTTTTCTCCTGTCCTCGGGCACCTCTCACACTTGCTGTGACCGTTCCAAGATTATTGAGCGTGACCTTACAAAGACATCAGCCAGCTCCCTCAGCACTTGTGGGTGCATTCGAGCAGGGCCTGTGGATTTATATATGTCCAGTTTGCTTAAGTATTCCCTGACCTGATCCTCTTCCACCAAGGTTACATCTTCCTTGCTCCAGCCTTCCCCCTGGTCTCTGGAGCCTGGGATTCCTGAAGGCTGGTCTTACAAGTGGAGACTGAGGTGAAGAAGGCATTCAGTACCTCAGCCTTTTCCATGTCCTGTGTCACCAGGTCTGCTGCCCAATTCAGCAGCAAGCCCACGTTTTCCCTAGACTTCCTTTTGCTTCCTAGGTGTTTATGGAAGCCCTTCTTGTTGTCTTTGACATCTCTTGCCATATTCAATTCCAGTTGGGCTTTGGCTTTCATAACCTTGTCCCTGCATGCTTGGACAGTGTCTGCCAGGTTCCCTGTCCCTCCTTCCACCTTCTGTATTCTTCCTTTTTGCGTATGGATTTTGGTCATTGATGTAGACCTGGCATTTTTACCTGACTTACTAGCTACTGGAATGGACTGCTCTTGAGCTTGGAGGAGCTAATCCTTGAACACTGAAGAGCTTTCTTTGACCCACTTTCACTCCAAGACCTTTGAGACTCCTGCAAGCTTCATCCATCCCAAGGCTGAGCGTGCACTCCAGCTGTTCTGTCTCATAAGGGGCAACCTCCCCCCACCTTGTCTTCTCAGCCTGTCCTTCTTAAAGAGCCCATATCCCTGCATGGCAGCACTCCAGCTGTGGGAGCCATCCCACCATGGCTCCATGATCCCAGGATTGTAATTCTGCAGCTGCACACCAATCTCCTTATGTTAATTCCCTATGCTGCACGCATTAATAAAGATTATTTTAGTGCTCTGAAACATTTGCAGGATAAAAGGGAAGGTGTAATATTAAGGAAAGAGTAAAAGTGGATACATTAAAAAAAATACTGGGATATGTGTGCATATGTGAGAGAGACTGTGACTTTTACTCCATGCTTTTCCTCTTAGGAGGTGGTGATAGCAAGTGCTGTAAGGACACCGATTGGATCTTTCCAAGGATCTCTTTCATCATTGCCAGCCACTAAACTTGGTTCCATTGCAATTAAGGGAGCAATTGACAGAGCAGGTATATGTAAATATTTTTTCTGTGACAAAGAAAACCTCAAGTAGCTCAGAACAGTATCAGTCTGTGTCTTTAAATTGCTTGGTAAACAGAAGGTCCTGGGTGTTTTGCTCCTGTGGCACTCTTACGTCTTTATCCACAAATGGTATTTAAGAAAAGTTGGCTGTTGGGCTTTATTTCAGTCTGAATTAAGTGCTGCTTCTAGGAGCAGAATATTACTTAGGGATATCTGTGGTAATCCAAATCTGATTGAACATGCTAATTGTTTTTCTGAGGTGGGGTTTTATGACACACCTAAACTGATGTAAAGGCTACTTGTTGCTGAAACCAGTGGCCCTTCCTTGCCCTGCCCATTTTTTACATGGGCATTTATGCTTGTAGGACACTCTCATGTGTCTATTGATGGATTCAAATTAGCAAAAAATTATTTTTGCGATGGAGGATGGTTAATTTTCTACAAATTTGGCTTCTTGAAAGAGCATGTTACCAGAACTTGAACACCAGGGCTGTTGCAAGAGATGCAGCACAGGAGCAGGCCTCTTCTGTCTGATGGCAGCTAGCTGTGGCCTTGGCTCACCCCTGTTCAACCAACCAACCAACCTGTTTCTTTAGACATAATTGTGGCAGGTAGAAAGTTTTGTGCATTTAACCATCTGTGGAAATTGAGCTTCTCAGGTGACTAGTGAGACTTGGAAATGTTGGTGTGAGTTCGCTAACTGTAGCTTGTTCTCCCAAAGTAACAAGGGAGTTCTTTTCTGTGGGGGTCACCAGGTCACTGTGTTCCATGAACACAAGGGTAGAGATCTCGAATGCGCCCAACAGGGTCCTGCATGCTCTTAGCACACAGGTTGGACATGGCATGTTTCATCAATCTTTGATAGAAAACTTCAGTGGGAAGGTTCATAAAAGGCAATTGTGTTTTCTGTGCAAAAAAATCCTAAATTGAAATAATTTTGTTTTGTAGGTATCCCTGCAGAAGAAGTGAAAGAAGCATATATGGGTAATGTCTTGCAGGCTGGACAAGGACAGGCTCCTGCAAGACAAGCAGTCTTGGGTGCAGGTATTCATTCTCTTGTTACTGGGTTAAAGGTTTTCTGTCTTTATGTAGACAGTGTAGATTATAGAGCTATGAGTTAAAGTGGGGTGTGCCCAGCCCTTTGTCAAGACAGTCTGTGCATGCTTTTTATCCTGTGGTGGGGGGTGTAGCTGTATTCATGTAAGTGGGCCTAATTGTGCACCCTCAGGAATCAGTTTTCATACAATGGATGTTACTGCCTGTGGGGTTCGCAGAATCTGGAGAGGACAATATCGGAGACCAGGCTGTTAGTCCCAGAGCACTTTATGCAAATAATGGATGCTGCTCTTTGAATCTATCATGAAACAGATTTTTTTTCTTCAGAATATCATTACTCTTAAGCCTTATTAGATAAGGGGTCAGTGAGTTTCCATGAACTGCAGATATGAGTATGTCATTACGCTCATCTTCCCGTGGAGTCTGGAACTGTCGCTGGAAGGATTCACTTCATGATGATAACTGCAGCACAAATGTTCTTGGGGTGCAGAAATTTTCTTCTCCCTTTTGCTGCGGGGATGGAATTCCATACCCTAGCATGATGCTAGGAAAGTCTATAGGTCAGGGAAGAACTGGATACTTTCTTGGCTCTGTCCCTCTACTTTTTTTGAAAGAGAAGGAACTGCTTCCATGTGAAGCAAAAGGATGAATATATGCTCTTTTCTTTCCCCTGGCTAGTTTTCCCACCTCACTGCTGGTATGGAGGTGATGTCCTGGTAGCAGAGCCATAATACTAGAGAGCAAGCTTAGGACAGAGGCAGTGATGCAATGGTCTTGAGTCAAGCTGCACACAGCAGGGCCCAAAGCTCTTGTAATGAACACTCAGTAACAATAACAACTCAGTAATAACTGTGTAAATGACACTGACACCTAGCATTTTTGGTCTTGTTCAGTATTGCCTGTGTTTAGAGTCCCTATACTTCTGGGGTCTGTCTTGTTGCCAGTTGCTAAATTCTACGGCCTGTTTATGCCTTTTCAATCTTGAATGCTTCTTAGAGGCAAGGATTGGAGTGTCAGGAGGAGGAATAGTACTGGAATTGGTTCACTGATCTTCTGTCTCCAATTCTTCATATGCTTGCTCCCTTACCACAAGTCTGTTGTTGGAAGGGGAGAAACAACAAGAGTCTCCAAGAAGAATAGCAACTAGGGGTGAGGGTAGATAGGTTGCCCTGGCAGGCTAAATAAGTGCAAGCTGGACACCATGGGCTTACGGAACAATTGGTCCCACGTGAAATATTGCTGAGACACCAATAAAGTGTCTACTCTTAAATACAGTTGTTTGTACAACTTCTTTGATTCAGGTCTACCAATCTGCACTCCTACTACAACTGTCAATAAAGTCTGTGCTTCAGGAATGAAGTCGATCATGATGGCAGCACAAAGCCTGATGTGTGGGAGTCAGGTATGTGAATGTTAGTGCTGTTTTATGGGAAAAACACACAATTAATGTTGTAGATCCTGTCCTACTAATGACTCTGCTCTTTGATTTGGACCTGTGTTTTGATTTTGGATAATAAGGCTAATTAGCAAGGTTTTGTTTTGCTTATGCAACCTTAATTTTATAGTCACTTAAGTGTGTTGTGGTTTAAAACAAAACAAAAAATCTTAAGTGTTATAGTTAGGAAATTGTCAGATGCATTGTTAGGGCTGAGCAAATAAGGTGGATTTTAATTTTTTTTTTACTATTTACATCCTCTCCCTACTTTTCTTTCCTCCACTCCAACTCTTGCCCCACCCCCAAAAACTAATTAAGGGAATTTTCAAGCTTTCTGGTTTGAAAAATTGAAATTTTTATAGACTTAATTTTTAATAAAACATATTTAATTTTGACTTTCAGACACTTTAAACACTTAAATGAATTAAATGTACATATTAAAGCAATGTTGTTTCCAAGTACATTAAAGATGCCTCAGGCTTTTTTTATTGCTTTAGAAGAAGCAGAATGTAATGTTGATAAATAAGTGTTTTCATAGAAGAGAGCTTGATGGAGGGGAATTGCTCATCTCTGTCAACTGTTCCTGGTACGATGGCAAAAATAGTATCACTTAATGGAAGAATGGGAGAATACACCATCTTCAGCAAGCCATTAAGTGCTATGCAGCAAAGAATGTGGGAGATGTGTGAAGACATTTCAATCTTGTTTTTAATTCTATATTCAAAAGCACTTTGGCAACATCTCCCCGTCTCTGAAGTGAAAATATTGTCAGTTCAATACACATTTTTGGTTTACAAAGTAAATGGCTCATAAGTGAGAAATATACTTACTTCCTTTTTTTTTTTTTTTTTTTTAGAAAAAAAGTAAAATATTTAAATTTTGTTTTCCCTCCTGTGAAAATAACAGTATAGCTGAGTTAAGCAACTACTTATTGCTTTGGCCTTGCTCTGCAGAGAACGGCACTTTGCCCAGTGCCTACTGGAGTCAGTGGAAGTCTTGTCACTGGACTTTGAACGAGGGCCAGCATGTCTGTGTAAACAGCTACATTTAGATTTAGTAATTTACATCCAGTGACTTCATGAGAGTTCTTGTGCATTTCGTTGGTTTGACAGATGCAGGCTGTGAGCTCTGGAGAGAACTGGAGTTTTCAGCTGAGCTAATCATATGTGTTGTGCTTCCTATTTCAGCAAAAGCAGACACTCGGCCAGTTATTAGTCTCTTAGAGCTATAAATTATGGGGTTTTGTTAGTATTTGTTTATTTTTCCTGGCTGTGGACTGTGAGGTATCTGTGGTATGAAAGTCAGTGATGGCTCCCAGTGGCTTGAGCCAGCGTACGTCATTGTATAAACAATTGTATTAACTCTGTCTTCAAGTCTCACTTTATGGAATTGAAATGGCAGGGACTCTTGTTCCTCTGATCTATTGCTGCTTCCATCTCTCAGCTGTCTTTCCAATTTATCTGTCTTTCCAGTCTCCAGCCTTCTTTCTTTTCTTTATTACTTCATGTCACTATTCCTGGATCTAGTTTATAATCTATTCTGAACCAAACCATTATTTCTCCGAGTCCTAATTTAAAGAAAACAAAAAAGCTTTCAGCTTTTTCTTATTGCTGTTTCGATGTAAAATCTTTTTGAATCTCTATTAACAGCACTACTGAACTCTCAAAGACTCACATTGCTGTCTGTGTATTTTTCTTACATTTATCCATATTTCATATATGCCATCAAACACAACTGTATCTGTTCTTCACACCCTGAGATCCTAGGGATTTTGGGGGTATAGCCTGATGAACAGTAGATATACTTATGGCCCTGATAACTTTGTAGGCTTGCTTTGTTTGCTTTGTCTGACCTTGAAAAGTATACTAATTAATAAATGCCCATAATGATTTAGCTTAATTCAAGTTCAGTAATCATTAATTACTAACATCTCTTTTTTTGCTGGCCTTTTCAGATGATAAAACCACATTATAAGTCATCTCTCTTTACTTAGTAGGATGAAACAATATTATGTAAAACTGCAGGTACTTGTAAATTTCTGTCTCTTCTTATTGGTCTCTTAGATTCTGACTGTTGCTTGTTCCATAGTGATATGGAGCTGTGAGTGAAGAACAAAACCAGGAAGTTTACAAAAAAATAAACTGTTTAAAGTAAAATCTATAACTTCATCTCAGAAGCTTTTGAAGTAAAAGTGCAAGAGACTGACATGGCTCTTGCAGCTTTCTAAAACTGCATACAAGACAAAAAGTCTAATTGTTCAGTCAGGGTGGATTAACTGTCTTCAGCTGTTGTTTCTGCTGTTGATTTTTTAAATGCGTAAAGATTTTTTTTTCCTCTTTCTCTAAGACTCCTCAGAAATATAAAGCGGACATGCTTAAGCTTTTGCTGATATTTGTTCCTACAAGTCATAGAGAACATGCTGCATTATTAATAGTTTTAACTTGTTTCCTTTGAGCAGGATGTAATGGTTGCTGGTGGAATGGAGAGCATGTCTAATGTTCCTTATACAATGAGCAGAGGATCAACACCTTACGGAGGAGTAAAGCTGGAAGACCTGATAGTAAAAGATGGGCTGACAGATGCTTATAACCATATCCATATGGTAAATATTCCTGCGCAGTACTAAGTATTAACCATAGACCTGATGCAGCTTTGAAGAGCTTGCTTATAATTACCATGAAACTGCTTCATCTTGCAAACCTGGAAATGAGGAATAACATGAACAGAGGAGGAAAAAGTCTTCCATTTCCAGGCTTCCTGTAGTAACTGTAGTGGAGGGGCTAGACAGAAGACCAAAACAGAATAACAAATTGGGTGTTAATATTTATCAGTCTCTGATTGAAGTCTGAATAGCCTAGAGCAGGGATTTAAAAAAAAAAAAATTCTTCTACTGACAGATTGCTGTTGCTCTGTCTGTGGGAGAAAGCAATCAAGTTACCTGATGTCTTTGAGGGTACCTACCCCGTACGGTTCAGCAGGCTCTCATGTTTATTTTCCCTCCCCGAGTGCAGATATATCATATCTTCTGTTGGAAGGTCTGAGTCAGCTGATACGCTTACTCATCAGCATGGTAACTTAAATTGGACAAACAACTGCAAACTTAGGATGGGTTTGGGAAACAACTGCTATGACAATAGTGAAGGACAAACATCGGGGAAAAACAGTTTGAAAAGAGAATGACTACTTTCAGTTTACAGATTTTTCTGACCTTTGCCTATGGTAATTCACAATTATAGGGCATTATTGATTGATTGATCAGTCAGTGATCTTGCTGGTGTACAGGAAAACATGTCATGTCTACTGTGATCCATACTTCTCATACAGACCTCACTGCTGCTGTGTGTGATTTATTCTTTTTGCAGTATGGCGCACTCTGCTTAGGCTGCTGGTTGAAATCCACTCCCACATTTCAGCTAAAAACAATTCTGGCTGCAAGAATTTTTATAGGAATGTAAATAGTGGCTTTGCTAGTTTCTGTATGTGGGGGAAAACTCTAGGAGTTGGTTATAATACACAAAGTTTTATCAGATTGGGACAATATTTCAGAACCTTTTGTTGTCATTTATAGCAGCTGTAGGTTGCTTGGAAAGCCTTAACAGTGTGTGAGAATATACAGGAAGGCCCTTCTGATGGCTTTTGGAATTTACTTGTCTATGTTTTGGCAATAGACTAAGCTGCTGGTGCTATGAAGACTTTAAATTCTTTAACTACATAGAAGTGAAGTTTCTTGTTTAAAGAACTAGAGGAACATGGTAGTAAACGGTTTTGTGTTGATTCATTGAGTTCTCTACAGCAGAGAGGTGGAACAAAACCTGTTTAAGAACAGATCTTTCAGGTTGACTGAATGAGTATCCTTTTTTTGTATTTATTTTGTCACTGGGTATTTAGACATCGTTGGTAATGAATTATGGTTGTATAATTATGATTACGATTGACCTATATATAAAATTACTTGATTGTTTCATTCTACTTATTTCATTCCAGTTACTAGACAAAAGGTATACATACTTTTAGTTGTACAGTTTTTAGAGAATCAGATCCCAAACGCTCAGTAAGCCCTGTGTGTTGACCTGTTCTTGTAACCTTTGGGATAGGCAAGCTCATAATGGAATGAAAACACTAGTAAGATGATATGAACACTAGTAAAATGCCTGAACAGGGATCTTCAGTCTCTGAAGATATCAGCCCTAAGCACTTTAAAGCTTACTTTTCCACACAGTTTTTTAACTTTAAAAAAAGCCTTGTAGGGAGAGTTCCTTCATGGCTTTAATCTGGATCCAGAAGACATTTGCTAAATCTGAAGATCATATTCCAAAACCAAAAGTTATTGTTTGATCATGATTGTGTAAATTGGAAAGGGACACCAAATAGTCACATTAAATTCTGAAAATCTGCTAGTTGAGTTTTTTTCGACTACATTTCTACTTCCCATCTCCAGAAATACCAAACCTAACGTGCCTGGTTTTCTCCAAGGGCAACTGTGCTGAGAATACTGCGAAGAAGTTTACTATTTCACGAGAGGAACAAGACACTTACGCCATAGGCTCTTACACTAAGAGCAAGACAGCCTGGGATTCAGGAATATTGAAAAATGAAATAATTCCTGTCACTATTTCAAAAAAAGGTATTATGGAAAGGTGTGATAAAATAAACTGTGTTTCTCATTGAAAGCTGTCATGCTGTCTGTGTTCAGTGCAAGTTGTGTTGGTTAAACATGCAGATCTCAGGAACACTAATTTTAGATTAGGTAAGAATTTTCTGTTATGCAGGATTTCTGGTGAGCAGCAGTCAGTGTGCTGTGATCTGGTTTTGTTTTTAATTTTTATTTTATGTTACATACTATATCTTCCTTTTTTTATGTAAGTGGAAGACTAGCTATTGAATTAAGCTAGTATGGCTTGAGGACACCTGTGTTTAATTTTCCTATTAATTACCTTAAAGGTATGCTCTTTGTCCCTTTCGTTCAGCCACCAGGAAGTATAAATGGATTTGCTGTGAATAAATTGGATCAAAGAATAATTTTTTTTAGTTGTCATAAGCACAATTCTTGACATGCATTTTACACGTTTACAATTTTTTACTGAAATAAGGTGTTTAAATAAGGCAGCCTTTAATCAAAGTACTGTGTCAGAATGCCTTAAGAATGAACTGTTCTATAAAATACTAAACCAAATCTGAATTTCAGGAAAGCCAGATACAGAAGTGAAAGAAGATGAAGAATACAAACGTGTTGATTTCAGTAAAGTTCCGAATCTGAAAACTGTTTTTCAAAAAGAAAATGGTAAATATCGTTAAATTAAGTGCTTGCTTTTCTACGAAGTGCAAGGATAGTTTGTTATAGTGGACGGTACTGTTCACAAGAGCTTGAATGCCCAAGGGTAATCCGTTAATTTCTGTATGTCTGCTAAGATAAAGAAACATGCTTCACAGGAGCATGAACTGTCTTGGATTAAAAGCCAGTCCAAGAACCTTAAACCAGTGAAAACCTCTGCTTTGGACATTTACTTTAAAAAGACTGAAGCAGATTGGTTTCGGTTTAGCTATTGCCTTGGTCTCCACCAAGTATGAGCTCTTGTTTCAGGGGGAGCTGGAGTGCCTTTACATAGTTGCCTGTTACCTCCCTGAATCTGTAATTGATAAATCTTTCTGGCTAAATCAAAGTTGCCACTTGTTCACAACCCTTTTTGAGCTGGAATTCTGTGTTAATGCCCGCAGTGCAGCTGGCCCGGAAGGTGTGATCTGAGCAGCCACTTGGACAAAGATACAAATACACGTGATTGTACTTGTTTAATCCAACCAATTTTAAAAAAAATGACTAACGTTTAGTTAACTCAGTGCAGCAGATACTGCCATATTGTCGAGACCTTATGTTCAAGGGTTTAAGGTTAAAAAAAAAATATCATTAGCAGGATATACCCGAGCTGTTTATCCCACTTTCCCTTTTGTTTAAACAACACCGTACCTTTTCTAGGAACAGTTACAGCTGCTAATGCCAGTACTCTGAATGATGGGGCAGCTGCTTTGGTGCTGATGACTACAGAGGCAGCCAAGAGACTGAACGTCAAACCATTGGCACGGGTAGTAGGTAAGATTTTCCTTTTCTTATCTTTGAGTATGGTCCTGGAATGTGCTCCCATAGTGTGCTCTCACACCGGGAGTCCTGTTTGGCTGGTTATCTGACGTTCATGGGACAGAAAAGCTGAGCCATGAGGCATTATGGCTGCGTCTTCTCAATACAGTGCTTGAAATTTCAAGTGTTGTACCAGCAGGATTTTGATCATAAACAGTTTTCTATGTGGAATAATATTGAAAATACGAAAATGTTATTATGTGGCTCACTTAAGGCACTAAAATTTAGTTGTATCTATTTCATGGACCAATATAATCAGAATTCTTCTATCTTGTCTGGGTTTGCTGCTTGCACAAATAAAAATCATATATAGCAAAACCAAAAGGTCTTGAAACAGCTTTTGTGATTTTTACAGCTTTTGCAGATGCTGCTGTTGATCCTATTGACTTCCCAATTGCACCTGCACATGCTGTTCCCAAGGTAGGGGTAAAACTCAGAGTTTTTTAAAAAACAACAAACTTCCCTAGCACTGGTTCATTGGTTCATCACTCAGTGGATCTTCCTGTAATTAGAATCAAAATTGTATCATGAATACGGAGAACACATGTTTTTCAGAGGATCAAGGCTAGAATGCAGATTTTCAGAGTAACAAATTTCTCACACCTCTTTTGAAAGAGAATATTGTTTTATACTGCTTTCACCAACTTTGGGCTCGTTTGCACTCTTGAAGCGTTGCAGCTAGTATGGCTCAAGGGCGAAGTATGGACTGGTTCAAAAAGGAACTGAGGGCAAGTGTATAGCATGAGGCAATACTGTATCAGTTTAAATGTACTTCCTGTAGCAGCGGTCTTAGTACAAGTGTGATGCAAACGTGTTCTCAGCACAGGGCACTCTCCATTTCTTCTTCTGTGAAAACCCATGTTTGTGCTTCAGTACCTCAGTTTTGCTCTTTCCCATCTGACAAAGAGGTTCCGAAATGGGAACTTGAATCAGACTATGGGCAACCTGAGTCACTGACTTCAAAACAGACCTAATTATTTCTATAATTAGCTTCCTAATTTCTTCATAGAGGTAATTGTTTTTATTATTATTTCTAGATTCTAAGTGAGACAGGCCTGAAAAAAGAAGATATTGCAATGTGGGAAATCAATGAAGCATTCAGTGTTGTGGTGCTGGCCAATATTAAAATGCTGGGTATTGATCCACAGAAAGTAAATATCAACGGAGGTGCCGTCTCTCTTGGACATCCAATCGGGTAAGTGAAATCAGCAGTGGTTTTCGTTGTGCACACAGGCATTGTTTTCTAGACGTACTGCTAATATATTTACCTGTATTCTCAAATTTTATGCAAGTAAGAAGGGTGGTAGAAATTTGCTATCAAGTACATAGTGACTTAATTCAGCTGTTAAGTTTCGGGGTACCTTGAAAAGTGCACCATCCCATTTTTCTCTTCAGTTAGTTACCATCGACTTTGATAAAGAGCTTGCTTGTTACCATAGCTGTATGGGTGTATGAAGTATTAAAACCAAATCGCTATTAACACGACAGAATAATCAAGTAGTTAAGCTAATAAAATTTACAGGTAAACTTAAGAAAATAGCAAAGGATATGGCTCAGGGACTTTTATTTTTCTTACATGAGTGAAGGGAAATTCCAGGGCTTGTTGAAGTCTTTATGGCAGTGAATCCAAGAGTCCCCAAGCACCTCATGCAGCAGCTGGGGATAGTCTGGGGATGTTGGTGGGTCTTTTGTTTGAAGTTCTGTCGTCTGGTTAGAGGAGCCAGATCACCTGCTGTGTTCCCCAACAGCTGTAACTTACTCGTGGCATAAGTATATCCCATTAATCCTCCCTAAGAGCAGGCATGCTGCATGGTCCAGGTCAATGAAGAAAACCCCATTTCAAAGCCTCTAAGTAAATACAGCTGTGAAGTCACCACGTTGTACATCAGGAACAAGTAGGCTCAGCAGGAAGAGTACTTCATGGTTCATAAAAAGCTCTACTCAAGGCATAATCCCACAAGACATGCTGATATCTTTGCGGTATCAGCTTCTGAGAAGGGAATATATTTTTTTTGCCTTAAAAGTTAATTTCAGCAGTTTAATGACAGAATTTAAATGACTGATTTTGCATATTAGGTGGATCAAAGTAGCATACTGCAGGAAATCGAGTTGTAAGCAAATAAGAAACTGTTTGAAATTAATCATTGCTATCAATTTGTTTTTTTGTGGTTGATTTACCATCTTCTTTGAAAGAGTATTGCTACCGGTGGAGATACTTTGTAATATACAGACTGGCTTAGAGGTGGTTACCTTTTCCAGAAGGAACTTTAGACAAACATGAAGTTTTTGTTTGTAAGAATCTCTGTTTAAGTACTGTAGCTAGAGAAAAACCTGTATTGCATCTAAATGTAGATTAAATGATTGGTTTGGTCTTTTTGTTGGTGTTTTTTTCCCCTTCAGTGAATCAGTACTATATTCTGCCTACTCTCCTGTGTGGGTCAAATTAAGAATTTCCTTTAAACTAAGCTATATATATTTTTTTCTTTTATTCAGAATGTCTGGAGCAAGAATTGTTGTTCACATGGCCCATGTGTTGAAACAAGGACAATACGGTCTTGCAGGAATTTGCAACGGAGGAGGAGGTGCTTCTGCAATACTGATAGAGAAGCTGTAGGCCCGAATAGTGTTGGAAACAAAGCCTTAAACTCTCTGATCAAAATGATAGGTGGTACCTGTTACATCTTATTTATCAGTAAGTGGATGAATTCCTTAACTGCTATTCTAAAATTTCTTAAAATATCATTGATTATCGATACGGACATCCGGGCTTTCGCTGCTTTGACTCAGTACAAGTTTTTATACAGTACAAATAAAAATGTCCAAATATGACAGTGTCTTGAGACCTGACAATAAAGAATGTTTGTTAACTGTGGTTCCTGTCACTGACCTATGGTTTCTCAAATGCCACTGAAAATTAATTCATAGCATACCAGCTTCGAAGTGGCCTCAAGGATCATTGACTTGGTAACTCACATAGCGCTGCTGTGAGAAGCAGCTGGTTTCTTACAGTTCTGTTGCTTCATTTTCCAAACTACTAAGTGATTTTCATGGAAAAAATAACTACTCACATGTTGGGTTTCTACTGTTGGGTACCTCAAAGCCAGGTCAAACACAGAAGAGGAGCTGCCCTGCTTTAGCACTCACTCACCCAAGCGAACTAGAAGAGATGGTGTAACTTACACATGCAAGTACTGGTACGGCCTCAAAATGCTACGGCTCCTTCTTTGTTCATTTAAACCCACAGTACCCAGCTCTGTCAATATGCTTTTAAGCCGAGGCAGATTCAGGACTGGAAGAGTACAGGTATCATGACCGCTTCTTCCCCAGGAGCCGCCCCGTACCTGGCTGTGCTCTTCCATTCCCAGCGACAACGTCAGGAGTACAGGGTTACACACTCCTGCTGCAAGCGTGGGGAGCTAGATGGGAAAATACTTTCCTGGAAATTAATCTTGGTTTCTTCAGCAGGCTTTTTACCAGAGGGCAAAAACTGGCTATTTCAGTATAATGCCTATTCCCATCTCACCCTTTTCACAAGGGATAACATCAAATGCTTAAGTTTCTTAGCTGGAATTCAGGACATCTACTTTCTTATTTTGACATTAATTTAAACAGGAAGCCATCTTTACCCACTGTTTGACCTTATATTTTGCTCTGTAACGTAGGGGAAATAAATACTTTGACTGGGATGTAGTGGAATCTTCTTTTTCTGGGAAGGAATGTACTCGTAGAGGTAGCAAACGAACAGCGGGGTTTAAATGCTCTATACTAGGAAAATTAACCTTCATTCATGCTCTGACACCTGTCCTTCTAGAAGTTATTTGCCACATGACAGCAGCTTGGACCTGAAGATGCTTCTTCCTTTGAAAGTGTGAATGAGTGAAGGGATAATTCCCATCATTAGTATTACCAGATCACCTGAACTGCAAGACTGTGGTGGATAGTGGCTGTCCCATGAAAGAGCTACAGTCTCAAATAAATAGCAAATCTGTTTAAAAATACCACCTATCAACTGTCACAACACTATTAAGCATAAAATGCTACCATGTATCAAAGACACAATTGTGTTTTTGCCACTCTGACCATCACTGCTATCGGAACATAGTGTTTAATACTGAACTTTGTCTTAAAAATGACTGATCAACATAACCTTTGTATACAGAATCTGCAAAACTACTTGGTAGACTTAAAAAATACTAAGCGAGACACACAACTTTTTATTAAAACAAAAATATTTATTCAAGCTGTAAATGCTATGCAGTATTTAGTTACTGGATGGGTTTAATATAAACATCTACTGCATAATATTGGTTCCTTAGGAATCCTTGTATACTATCTGAAACATTGCCCTGTTGCTGTACAGATCTCTTACAAGAAAACTTGCATTTTTTTTAAGAGCTCAACAACTTGAGAACAAAGGAGGAAATACCGGTAGAGAAAATTCTGCAGTATTGGAGCAAGGCCCAGTGTGGTAATTTTTACCCATGCTAATTATTCCTAAAATGTAGGCTGAGCTTCTCCTGTGCCTGTTTTGAAGAGAGTTTGTATAATAGCTATGACAAATTCTATGTTAAACAAAGATTAGATGCAAATTTTTCCATGTCTGGCTAAAAGCATAAGTGTTATTAACATATACTTTCTCAACAGTGCAAATGACAGTTAAAAGAATTGCTTTTTTTGCAACAGAACATGCTGAAATTCTTGTCTGGCATTGCTATAGTTTAAGTATCCATACTGGAGTATGAACAGGGGGGTTAACCCACACCACGGTACACTGAGCACAGCTTTTGCATTCAAATGCCACCTGGTGCAGCAAATACTGTAGACAGGCAAGGCCCATCCACAGTGAAGTTCTTCTCCGAACGGCTGCTTGGGAAAAGCTTCATTAGATGAGAAATACTTTTGGAGGTTTTATCGGCCTTATGTTTACTTACCGGTATTTTTGTTAACCCTTTCAAAGCCTTACAACATGGGTTTGACAGTTAGGAGGGAAGAGAGTGTTAGTACGAGCCAGTTACGTCTGAAGGTTAAGTCCCTTTTGGATTCAACAAGACAATGGGGAGCGGCCGAGTCAGCTGCCCCTGTCAGAGCGGTGAGCTACAAACACCGCCTTCAAATTCACAACCTTTCCAGAAATTGGCTAAGCAGATCGGATGGGTAAGTAGAGAATGCAGCAGAACACAGACAACGTGGTGTAACGGGAAACAGACAACTTCTCTTACATTACAACATTTATACAAATTTACAGTTTTGCAAATTAAATGGCTCCGTAATTACGCAAGTGCTTTTTCAAAAATAAACATATACCAACTCAATGATATTTACACTTAGCAACCTGCTTCAGAAACAGCATGACTTTGCTATAAAGTGAAACTTCAGTCCACTGAAAGTGCAGCCCACCCTTCCGAATTAACTTCTCTTCCCATGCAAAACCTCAGCATAACACCACCTAGCTCTCCTTTTTTTTTTTTTTTTTTTTTTTTTTTCATTCATCATAATGCAAAGACAACAGGAACTTGTCCACGTCCATTCCTGCCGGGAAGGAATTTGGTAGCTTCTTTTTCTGTAGGAGAAGAAAAGAAGAGTCGTGTTAAATGCTAAGAACCTGGGGATACTGAAGAGTCTGTAAGCATTCCTTTCTTCCTTGTCCTTCCACCTGCCTTGTAGCAGAAATGAGATGCGGACACGCGCCTACGCTGAGCGGCCGAGCTGAGGGGCAGCAGCAGCCCCCCCCGCTGCAGGCAGCCGCGCAGCTCCCCTCACACGCGGGGCAGCAGGGAGCACTCTTCAGATCCAGCGTTTCAGGAGCAGGCTGTAACTAAATATGGTGAAATAAGAAGTCATACTGCATCTCCTTTTTGATTATTTCCATACATCACCTCTTTGTGTCTCGCACCTTCGCTACCTGCCGTTAAATCCCCAGGTCAAAGGCACGGTGCTCTGGGCTAGAGAGCCTGGAAATACACAGAACGTGTATTCCTAGTCCTGGTGGTAAGGAAGGATGCAAGAACAGCTCAAGTTCTACCTTGTAAGTTCTGGTTTGGCCTAATTTCTACATTCCACCTAGAAACTTAGTCTGAAGTTAGAATTTAGAAACTCGTTCATGTTTTAAGAGAAATAATTTGATTTTCATAGGTATGTGCAGAGTCAGTAGGAGCTACTTGAGTGTATCTGAAGACTCTACTATGAAAGCTGTTCGTTCAGAGTGGGCTCAAGAGGCAAAGTCAGTAAAACTGACAAATATAAACAGGATATTGGGGATCTGGACTAGCACCTCTGAAATATCCCATTACAAATAATGTATATATAAGATATCTAATATATATTTAGAATCTTAAATGAAAAAGTAAATGCCTGTACTTGCCTTTATTTTCTTCTTTTTTGATGGCGTTGGAGAGCTTTGAAGGTCTTTTCTATTTGCAGAACGGGAATTTCTCTCACCCTCATTCAAGTCCTCCAGTTTCCTTTTCTTTACTGTGCTCCTTAAAGACCTGAACTGTTGCGTATTGTCCTTCAGGGGGGTTGCAGTGCTAGTCCTTGCGATAGCCGCCCGTGACAGTATCATCAGCGTGTGAGCAGCCATACTGACGCTATTTTCACTGCCCGTCTCGCTGGCCGGGCTGCAGGCAGGCAGGTCTGGCGTAGCAGGGGGCACCATTATTCTGGGGGTCGGGCTATCCTCGCTGAAGCGGCGGCAGGTCGGCGTCCGTACACTGTCCGTCGTATCGTCTGTGTGCCTGTCCCCCACTCCAGATGGCGTGCGGGGTACTGGCAATTCGCCGTTTTCAGCTGTTTTACTAGTCGGGCTGTGCCACTGAACGTCCTGCAGCATTTCCACACATTGTTTAGTGAACGGACTTGACAGGCAAAGGCCTTGGTTGGAAACTTTAGCCAGTTCCCGCTTTGGCTCCTTCGAAGACAAGGAAACGGACGCTGGAGATTTGCCATTCCCATTCGACAGCGACCCCTGCTTTTTGTTCAGCTCTTGCACCGAAGCAACTGTCTTCTCATTCCATAAGCTAACGCTTTGTTGGCCATTTGAGAGTTTGGCCGTGTCCTGGTTCTTCTGTTTTTCATCAGTATCCCTTCGTAATTCGTTTTCTTTATTTGCGGTAGTCTTGTGGAAGGGATCTAACGGAAGCCCTGCCGTTGTCGCCTTCCGCTCGGGCTGCGGCTCCTTTGCAGACGTGCTCCTGTTGCTACCAACTTCTGGCTTACACAGAATTCTAGGCAACGTTTTATCTTTCTCTCTTTTTGCTACCTGCGCCTTAGCAGAGGTCGATGCAGAGTCAACAGCAAGGCAAGTATTTTCGTTTCTTTCTTTTTGAGATAAACTCTTAGTAGTCTGAATTTGGGTGTTTCCTCCCGGAGCAGGTAGGATGTTATCAAAGCAAAGCACTCGCCTGTGACTTTCACTTTGTTTTGAGTTTGAGCTTGTGCCCTCTACTGGTGCAACAGGTAAGTTCTCCTCCACTTTCCTTCCTGGCTCCGCAGTGATAAGCTTGTCCGAATTTCCAGTCCTAAAAATGAGATGGAAACACGTCAGCAACCTACCGGTTCTTACTAGGCAAGTTCATTTCAGCCGGCTGCAAGTCCCCACCCACCCCTCACAACTGCTGTTTAAAGCTCTCCCCGTTCTCTAAATGTTAAGTATTTTATCAACCTGCAAAGACCACGAGTAAGGGATGACAACTGCAGGAAGCTCGGAGAAGGCCAAAAAGGATGACAAAAAGGTACGGAACAGTCTGTACAAAGAACAATCAGGTAGACTGGGGCTCTTCAGCGGGGAAAGAGAGATGGCTGAGGGGAAATGCAGCAAAGCTCGGGGAGAAAAGCCAGCAAAAAGGATGCTATTTGCTCTGTCTTCCAGCAAAA